AGCAGGGGAGGAGAAAACTCTACCCTTACAGTGACTTTGACTGGGTCTGTTCCCATGTTTATTTACTTGGCACTGTTATGGCATGTTTCCATTAATAAAATTTTTAAAAATTAAAACTTCTATTTTCAAAAGTGGCAATTGAGTAAATAAAGTGCAAACATAAAAGACAATAAACATGAATGGAAGAAAAATCAGATGTGAAACAGTGAGGTAGAACAGCCAGCTACACAGATGACTACCTGATTTGCTTTTGTCAGCCAACTCTTTTTTTCCTCACATCCATAGTTACCCTCACGAGCAACCTGGCCAGGTACAAGTGCCATGTGCTTTCTCCTTTCTCCCCAAAGAAATTTTTTTTTAGTGATTTCTTTCTTCCTGTTTCTGTGACAAATATAGCTCTTCTCTAACCTAGAAGACTCTCTAAGGCCCAGTGAAACTAAGCATGAGTCTATCCTGAGGGATTTGTGAAGCAAGCAACGGAAAAAAGTACCTAGTATCTAGTCTGTCTGGGACTGACAAATACTCTGAAAGAGAAAGATTTGGTTAGAATCTGAACATGCCATATTTTCAACTGAAGGGAAAACAGGACAGCCGAGACTTTACTTCAGTGATCTCTGAATAGAAGAGGAGAACAAAAGCTGCCGCTGACACCTGCATTTGTGCACGATGTCCCAAGAACACTTGGCTCAGGGGATGCTTTTAAAAGTAACGCCCACATTCATCTTCCTGAGCAGGGGGAAGAGAAGCAGCAAAACACAGGGAATTTTCAAATATTCTTTAAACACCTTAACAAATTAAAACAAAACAAAAGGATGAGAGCACACCACGTAAATGGCAGTCCCTTTCCATAACAAATACACGAAACAGGAGAAATACATTTGTGAAAAGGTACTTTAAAACAAACTTAACAGGGCAAGTCCCCAGGTGCAGCTTAATGACTTCACATCGAACCATCAATGTAATTTTGCCTTTCCCCCAAAAGATTAAGCCATTACTTCACCTGGCACAACTCAACGGTGAGAAACACCACGTGCTACCCAGGACTTGTCTTCTCCAAGGCTTCCACTGGCAACAGTGGGCATAATGCTGCTGCACCAGAGCATTATATAGAAATACCCCAAAGCCAATTTCCCAGCCAGCTGTATGACCTTGCAGAACATCCATCATCGCCTTTGGAAGTACAGAAAGAAATGCCGCCGTAAGCTGGAGCCCTTAATACTTACATTCAGCAAAGCAATAAAAACCCTTCGTCGCATCATAAGGTCTTTTAAAGTAGTTTTATAACCACATATACACTTAAAAAGAAAATGTAACCCTCATCATATCACACTGATAAAACAGCGCGTTACAGAAGCTGTACAGCGTACATTCTGCTTGTTCTCATTACACCAGAAAACCAAAGGGGCACCCAAAGCTGCAAATGCCTGCTAGTATGCCCAAGTAAAGGAGGTCTGTGAAGACTTCCCATGCACTGGGGTGGTGCTCAGCTCGCTCAGGATTAGGCCTTTAGCAACCTTAGATTGCAGAGAGGGACTTCCACAAGGTATTGAGGATGTCTGTCCTTACACTGGCCTGATGCTCTTCCACTGACATCTTCAGACTTCTAGAGCTTGCAGCAACGTCTCGAGCTGGAAAACTCCTTTCCAGAGCTGACCGAGAAGTGTGGTTTCCTGCCCTGACCGCTGGGCTCAAAGTATTATGGAAAGGAAGCAAAAGCATGAGATGGCTATGGAAATGAACATTAATGGTTGCTATTAACGTAATTTAGCTTCAGTTAGAATGAACAACAAGACGACAATTATACATGGAAAATTAGCTTTTATTACAAATGCTTAGTAATAAGTAATGATTTTTCAGGTTGTTTTTTTACTTACTAAACCTAAACATACAAAGTCAGAAGCAAACAAGAAATTGCTTGGTTAAAATCTTACTGAAGGTTAACTTGTCAGTAGTTTGATCAGATTTCCTGCAAGGCTTGCTTTAAAAACATCTTATTTATTGAACTATCGGCTTTCCTTTACAGAGATGCTCATCCTCCAGTAGAGATGTGTAGTCATCAACATGGATGATTTGATTCATTTATATAAACAGAAGAAATAAAAAGTTGTATCCATCTCTTACTATAAAACCTATTTCTATACGTTATGCTTGCACATAATTTAGAGCCTGACCCACTGGCTTCTGAAGCCAAAGACGGCTCTTACACTCACTGCAGCGTGCACTGTATCAGAAGGGCAACATTACTGATTTCATACTACTTGGTGAAAGTATCCTTTGGTCACAAACGTCCTCCATCTACCCAGTTTACAGTATCTCAGAAACTATTTTTCGCCCATTTTAAGTAGCTTGTTTACATTTTTATTTTATTCTGTGGCTTTCAGGTTTTTCTCCCACATGTATAATCCACATCTGTGTGCATGCATGTGCACAAAATTTATTCAAGTTGTTTCTATGCCGACAGATCAGGAGTGAAGAAAGGATGCCCTTTGTCTTCTGATACCTTTCATATGTCAGACTGCAACAGCGCTAGTCCAAAAGTCCCTCTGGACAGGCAACTAGGATTTAGTGCACTGCATTACCAAAGTTTTCAGAATACACAAAATATGAAAATTGCGATCATTTTATTACAGTGTTGATTACATTGTAAAGCCACATTATTCAAAATCAAAGGGGTTTTTTTGGTGGGAAAAGTTTGAGAGAGTAAGGGAAAAGAAAACTGCTAACGATGCAAGCGAGAGTGTCTAGACAATGACACTTTGCTCAAAAGGCACACCAAGAAAAGGCAAGCTAGGTTCCTCTCCTGATGGTTTGATTTTTTTAATAATTTGTTCTTATATACATAGATAAGCATATATATATGTGTATACCTACACAAATATACGTACGCACACACACCTTTGAGTTTTTGAGAACAGAAAGTTCGAGAATTAGAAATTCATTTTAAATAAATAAGAACCAGACTAATAGGGGGAAGTTGGTGCTATTGTTTTTTGCTGCATTATGATTATAATCTAATAACACAGTGATATGATTATACCATTTTTTACCATACATCATTTCATTGTATATGTAATTGTAAATGTGAGGCCCAGGTGCATTTATCTTGCCTAAAGTAATTTTTATGGATCTTCTGTGTTCTTGTTTTTTCATAAGGGACGGTCATTACTTTAAGAAATATGAACAGAGTTGAGGGTAAGGATGTTCTAACAGTCACAATTAAAATTTATTTGACTCTAGGGTTTACATGTTAGAGCGTGGCGTGCACGCAAACACACACACAGAATGACAGTGACAACAAGGGCTGTGTACAGCTCAAACCCAAGTACTGGTCCCAGCACGGCTGTAGCATGCTGATCTTGTAAAAAACTTTTGTTTTCTTTTTGCATAAGCTTTATGATATAATGCACCATTTTCCAAAATCTGCACTGTTCCATGTAAATGGTCCATGTACAATGACGGTAAATGTTAAGAGGTATGAGATGATTACTAACTTCCAGGAAACATTTAACAGAAGATGCCCATACAGTAGTCACCAATAAAAGTTTAACAGCTGAAGGCTGAATGTAAAGATCTTTTCAGCTGTATTGTTTAAAGAAGTATGACTATCACAATAAAGTTATTTACACAAAAGGCAACAATAGTAAAGATATCAACAGAGAACACAGTAGATTGTTCGGAAAGTGGATCACATTTTCTGCTAAGTTTGAAATATTTCTTGCAATGTTGTAAATTCTACCTACTAGATATCCCACAATATAAACCAGACAGAAGAACTTATAAAAAGATGTATCAAGAGCTTGGTCCTGCATTTCTGATTCCTCAAAATCTAAAACAGAAGACTGCAGGAATTTTGAATGTTTAGCGATTGCAGGACAAAACCCTCGGAGGACTGCAAAATGTTGCTTCTTTTCAGTACTTAATATATATATTCAATTGATTTTCTTTGGCTTTTAAATGACTATCCCTTCCTATCTATAATGTGAAACCAAACCAAACCCTGAACCACTAATAAGTCCCCTCTCCCTTCAAAACAGTGACAAAAAATTAAATGAACCAAAAAAACCATATCCAGAAAGTGTAGCTGTTACTTCATTATAAAACTACGGTGTAAAATAGAGGTTTATACTGATCAGAATTGCAATAGCAATTGGAAATTTACACTGAAGGAGTGACTGCAAGTATTGCTTCTCCTTAATAACAGAAAAATCAAAACTGATTAGGCACTTGTTTTCTTGTTTAATTAGAGATCATTCAGTGTGCGTAAAAATGACAGACATACTCTCTAAAAGAACGCTCTGTAGCTTAACAGCTGTATTGCTCAACTACAGCCACAGTCCCTGATTCAGGAGAGCAGAAAAACATGTGCCTATTATTTATTTTATGCTTAAATCCTACTGATAGGAATGGACTGGATACATGCTCAAGTGCTGTCCTGAATTGGAATGCTTGCTGAAATTGGAGTTTTAAAAGATAATACAGTGGTGAGCTTCTTTTGATTATACCACAATACCAATTTTATCTAATCTGGCTCTGCTCTCCACAATATTATCCTAATATTTCCTAATAAAAAAGAAAACAGGCATAAAATAAATAGGATAACCCAAGATTACATAATAAATATGCTACTAAGTGGGAGGAAAATATACTGCAACATAAGGCTCTGTAGTGTTGCACAATCAAGAAATCGCTCCAGGTGCTCCAAAACTCAACTTCTAGTGTACAACACCAAGTTACCACTATACACCTGAAAAAGATTGGGAAGTAACAGATTAAACTTCTATTACATTAAACATTTGAAAATATAAACAAGTGGTAATTTAGTGCTTCGCTGTCTTTGCAGAACATCATATGTATGTTCTTTCACTGTTCCAATTGTCATTGCTTGTGAAGGAAAATTCAAAAGACTGGGTTTTTGAAAACTCTCATTATCGAATTCCTTCAGACTCACAAAGTTACCAGTGTCCACACTGACTCGTATTATCTCCAAGAGTAAAAAAAATTCAGAAATTTTGTTGCCTCCGTTTCTTTGCATCCATCGCATCTAGGATAGGTTGCCTCTTTGCAGTGTACCTCTGACGAAGCTCCTCAATTTCTCGTTCCATCATAGGGTCCAAAGCCTTTAATCGCATCTGTAATTCTTCTAAACTCAGATTCTTCAACTGTAAAACAACCGACCAAACAAACAACAAAAAAAAAAGAAAACACAAAAAGATTAAAAACTATTTACAACAAAAATGAAAACCATCACCTTTCTAATCCTTTAATTTACAGTTGCAGTGTTTTTACACAGTTGGAGTGTATATATACACACATATAACTGTTCATATAACCAAAAGCTTTAGTATGCTCCATGGTAAATCATTTAACAGCACAGGAAAACACAAACATGCACGGTACATTTAATTAAAAAAAAAAAAATCACTTTGCAAACCTTACGAATAGATTGCAAATAAATACAGAGCTGGAGCTCAACTCACTAGGCTGAAAAAAGCATGCCACAGTATACACAATTATATTCATGTATACAAATTATATTGCTTCATCAAATACTTCTTAGTGAACTTCAGTCTCTTACAGAAGCCTGAAATACAGACAGCTGTGGTAAGTAACAGTCTGACAGATATTTAGAGGCACTTTCTGATAAGAATGACAGGGCACCTGTCTTCCTCAACAGATAGCTGCCAGAACTAGTCAAATCAAATTGCCAACAGAGTGTTTAAATAATAGGAAATAATTTCCTGATTTCACTGGAGGGAATTACCTCTGACCAAGCTCTTTTCTTTCTAAAAATATTTTCTCGCAATGTTAAACAGTTCATTACATTAAGAGCGATGGGTCACATTAGTGAATCGCTTCACTGGCTTGCTGGCTGCTGCAAATAAAGGTTGGAGCCTGGTCAGGTACCGGGGTACATTGGGAACTACTGCCCCTCCTCCTCTTGCAAGGAAGGATCCACACTCAAAATGTGTTCCTTTGGTTGGCCTACTTTTTTTTTCCTGATGAATTCTAGCACCTCTCTGCATTTCTCTCTTGTCAGAATTGCCTATGTGCCAATTACTCTTCACTGAGTGTGAAAAATATCAACAAATTTCAAATAGCACAAATAATTTCATCCTAGGAAAGGGATAATTTGTATTTTGTTTGCAAATATTCTGACATTGCAAACAAGCACACCACCTAACTAGGGAAAAAAAAGAAAACATTTTCTGAATCAACCTACTAATGAGTCAATACTTCGTTCATTAATCTAGGGCAGTCTTCCATCAACACAGTCCGATCTGTTTTCACTGAGGAATGCAATACTACTTTTGATCTTTATTTTTATCAGCATCCAAGGCATATAAATTAGCAACACATATTGCTACATACAGTCCAAACTCCAGTGTTACAACTTCTACTAATAGACTACGTTGTACATGGTAAACAAATAAAGTCATAATAAACAGGAAGTGCAGATCAGAAATTCATAGGAAAGCACATGGGAAAAGATGCACATTTTTTATGCAAGGTCATTTTAATCATAAGATTCCTAATGAAGATGAGAATTAAAGCCTAGATGTCAAAATATCTTCCAAGACCAAACATCCTTAGACCTGTAGGAGTTTCAGAGACCTCAGATGTGCTCAGTAGCTCCTCAGTAATGTCTGTCTCTCCCAAGGCAAATGCTGCCTTTCATG